CATCCACAAAAAAACATAAAATTACATCAAGTTGCATCAAGAAAGTTGCTTTAATTGGTTCCAGACATCTAAGTGCTGTACTGTAAGTTCTTTATGCCTAATATGCCGGGGGGTCCAGAGAGCTGCTAGGAAGTTAGGTAAGGTTAAATATGTTTCTTTGGTTAGATATGTTTCTCACTTCCATTTTCGTGTTCAGTATCATGCAAATATTTGTAGTATATCCAGAAATTCTGGTTCAATTCCATAATATATTTATGGTGCTCGCCAACAGTTCAAAGCTAAAAATAAAATACATGATAGATGAAGCTACAAGAGACGAGAGTTTCTTTAGTGTAAAGCACAGAATGTAGCGATCCACCAGCCTCAGATGGTCCAACAGCAATATACAGTAATTCTTCTTGAATTCTATCAAATGAACTTTCACTAATCCTCCAAGAGTAAGCCTAAGTAAAGGATCCTTCTGGAAATAATCAGCTGACAGTTATCCTTAGTCAAGTTGCCTTACTGTTTACTGTTGTTGTTTACTGACTGTGCACACAGTAAACAGTACAGTACAGTATAATACTGTACTCCCATGGCCTATGTGTATCATATATCTACATTGTCCATAGTCATGCTGAGCTTTATAACTCCATAGATTATATACCTATAGCTCGACTCACAGATCTTGAATCTTCCATTTGTGATGTCATCTGGCTCAAAATATCTCTACCAACAATGACTATTTTCCTTTGTTTCCTATACTGTTCTCCCAACTCTACCAACTCTTTCGAACTCTTTGACTATCTCACTTCTTGCCATGAGTCGTTGCTATCCACACACCCTAACACCGAGATCCTCTACCAAGGGGATTTCAATGTACATCACAGAGAGTGGCTTGGCTCTGCAAGGGATGACCCAGGTGGAGCTGAGGCACTCCCTTTTTCCTTACTTAATGATCTGGAACAAATAATTGAACACCCTACACACGTTCCTGATCGACACGATCAACTTGCTAACATTCTTGATCTCTGTTTTACCCCCCCCCCTCTAACCCATCACACTATGCATACTCAATTTCTGCCCCCTTAGGGTCTTCTAATCACAATCTTATTTCTGTTAAATCAAACTGGGCACGACCACCTCCCCCCCACCCCCTCTAAACGTCAACTATGGCACTATCGGAGGGCAAGCCGGCAATACTTGCGAGAATTCTTCACCGACTTTCCTTGGGATGAATGTTGCTTTTCCACTCAGGACGCCTCGGTATGTGCTGACAGCATTGCTGGGGTTATACAGGGTGGTATGAGTGCATGTATCTCATCTTCTACCAAAACTTTCACTTTACAATCATGGTTTGATCGCTCCTGTTCCCCTACATGTAGGGAGAGAGATAGGGCATATCAAGCTATGAAACTATCTCCTTCTCCTGTTACCCACTCCTCTTTTATTACTTCTAGGAATTGTTGTAAGGCTATTCTTCGTAGGGCCAAGCAGAATTTTATAAAAAGAAAGACCGCTGTCCTGACTAATTCTTCCTCTAGTAAATCCTTCTGGTCCTTAACCAAAAACATCTATAATAACTTCTGCACTCCCTCTTTTCCTCCTCTCTTCCGACCTGATAACTCTATAGCCAACTCTCTCGCAGACAAAGCCAATCTCTTTGGCACCTTATTCTCCTCTAACTCCACCTTCGACGATTCCAACTCTCTCCCTCCTACCCCTGCTCCTCCTACTGAACCTATGCACTTTCCTATAATCTTCACTCGTAGGGTTGCTGGAGTGTTATCCAGGTTGGATGTGAGTAAGGCGCATGGACTGGACGGAATACCCCCTCGTGTTCTGAGGGAGTGTACTGAAGTTCTGGCCACTGTGCTTGCTCGCCTCTTCTGCCTTTGCCTCAAGACCCAAACTTTTTCTTCTTGGAAGTATGCCTCAGTTCAGCCCATCCTGAAGAAGGGTGACCATTCCAGTCCCTCTAACTATCGCCCCATTGCCCTTACTTCATCCCTCTCTCAGATTTTCGGTGGATTTGGCATCCTGTGTACCGCTGGCAAGGCCGTGGGCTCGTAACACTCGTCTTGCCCGTGGTGCCCATCGTTTCTCTGTGGATGTCGGTCACACTAGAATAACCCGTTATAGTACCTCCTTCTTTCCTCACACAGCCAAACTGTGGAATGCTCTGCCTTCTTCTGTGTTTCCATACTCATACAATCTGTCTCACTTCAAAAAGATGGTTTTCCGGCATCTTCGTGGTGTAGATTAATATAATCTTTTTCTTTTCTATTTTTAATTTATTTTTATTCTTATTTTTTCGCCCCCCAGGCCCCATTGTGGGTCGATGACCTGTGCCCGGGTGAGCTATTACCCGTAAAAAAATAAAATAAATAAAAATGATTATCGAATTGTAAATCTGAATATTGCTGTTGTTATTATTATTATTATTATTAATTTGGTAATGGATAAAGAAACTGATTAAAAATAGGAAAAAACAAGAACATAATGTTAATGTAGGTAAATTTCTTATTATGTTTAGTAATGTGGATGTGTTGAGTCCAGACAAGTTAATAGAGTTAAATGCACAGTTGAAGGAGATGGAAAATACTCCTCAAGTAATAGCCTTACAGGAGGTAAAGCCAAAACACTACAGATATGAACGGATTACAGCTGAATATAACCTAGAAGGTTATGACATTATAGAGCAAAATCTCCTTAATAAGGAAGGGAGAGGTATGTTAATATATATTAGGAAAGGAACCAAATTTTACAGTGTTGAACTTGATACTAAGTTTTGTGAATATTGTTGTATAGAAGTGCCATGTAGTAGTGGTAATTTACTATTTACCTCCATTTACAGAAGCCCTAATAGTGATGAAAGCAATAATATTAATTTGCTCCAACTTATGCAGGAAGTCAATGATAAAAATGTGCTTTATAAAATAATTGTAGGTGATTTTAATCTTCCACAAATAAATTGGAGTAATTATACTTCTGTAATGGGACTGAATGATGTTGGTACCATGTTCATCAAGAAAGTACGGGACTGCTTTCTCACTCAACATATAGAGGAAATCACCAGGATAAGAGGAGACAGCACAGTTTGGCTTCATTTCCGGCAGGTCAACAGTCCTACAGTTGATTAGGGTACTACACAGGTGGACGGAAATTATCGATGACAGTCAGGCTGTGGACATAGTGTATTGTGACCTCATGAAGGCTTTTGATAGAGCAACCCACAAAAGACTATTAAAAAAAGTATCTAGTTATCGCATTGATGGAAAATATCTTGATTGGGTAAGGAATTTTTTAACTAAGAGAAAACAGAGGGTTGTGGTAAATGGAGAAGTATCTGACTGGAGAGAGGTCACTAGTGGGGTCCCTCAGGGTTCTGTCCTCGGCCCCCTGCTGTTTGTCCTTTTTATCAATGACCTGCCCAAGGCAATTAAACACGACAGTGAGGTATATCTATATGCGGATGACACAAAGATTTTTAGGAAAATAGAACGAGATGAGGATTGTGACATGCTGCAGGAGGACCTGGATGGGATCAGGGGTTGGACTGAGAAGTGGATGCTGAACTTTCACCCAGAAAAAAGTAAATACATGAGGATAGGAAGAACAAAAGTTGCTGACCATGGATATCATATGCACACCACGATCAAGATGACCACTGTAGAGAAGGATATAGGGGTATTCATTGATGATAAGCTGACGTTTTCTGACCATCTAGCTGAGAAAATCAACAAGGCTAATAAAATAGTGGGCATTATTAGAAGAACTTTTGTTCATCTGGATGCACCTATATTCAAGGCTCTGTACACTGCTCTGGTTAGGCCACACCTTGAGTATGCTAATCAAATTTGGTGCCCATATCTCATTGAGGATACTGAAGCAGTAGAGAATGTACAGAGGAGGGCTACCAAATTAGTACCACAGATCAAGGATTTATCTTATGAGGAAAGACTAAGGAAATTACAGTTACCGACACTGGCGTACAGAAGACCTCGTGGGGACCAAGTGGAAACATACAAGATAGTGTGTGGCATATATGACCAGGCATGTACAGCAGGAATGTTCCAGATGAGGGAGGCTGACACTACCCGGGGGAACACAAAGAAGATCTACAAAACAAGAGCGAGGCTAAGTCTCAGAAGACACTCGTTCACGAGTAGGGTTGTCAACAACTGGAATAGTTTACCTGAGTGGGTAGTGAATGTGGAGACGGTGGAAAAGTTTGAAGCAAAATTAGATAAATACTGGAAAAATCAACAGCAAGTATATAATTATAGGGCGCAATTACCCGCCACACACAGCCACCGTCTGAGTAGAGAAGAGGCTATTGAGCTGGAGTCACAGGCGTGAGCCTCTTCCAGAAGATCATCTGTGAGTATCTGTGAGTGAGTGCACTCTGATTGGCTAATCGTCCATTATTGGGGAACAATGCAAGAACTATATTTGACCGTGACTGTGGCAGCAATTGGCATTTATTTCACCGTGAGTCGAATGACGTGTAACTCCTGTATAAACAAACCTAAACATATTTGTGTTGTGCAGGGAAACTTATCGTTATAAACGAGGCGACATTTACTAGACTCTAATGGAAGCTGACCTAAACAACCAGAGAAACCTACTTAACCTTACCTAACTTTCTAGAGGGGGACCCCCCCCCCCCATCATATTAAATTATTAAACAAAGTATGTAGCCAATCAGAGCGCACTCACGGTAAAATAGCGTTAGTAGGAACTTAGCCAGTCACGGCAAAATACCCACTACTTATTATTTTACAGTTGACAAATAGTAAACAAACAAATTTTCCTAGTTTACACTAGCAGGAAGCCGAGAGCAACAGTGAGGCGATACATTAGTGTGAGGAGGAGGAGGTTTGTCTGGTGACTGTGAGGAGAACTAAATCATTTTTTCTAACTGTACAATACAAGTTAGTTAACAACGTCAAATTGTTCCTCTCACTGTGACCTCACCCTGGAGGGTCCCTCACCCCTCGTGCAGGAGAGCAACTCACCAGGTAGATGGAGAAGGGAACACAGACGAGGTAGAGCCACAGATAGAGGTGGAAGGTGTTGCAGAAGACATCCTGGTGAGGGTCGTAGAACCAACCTCCTGTAAGTGACGCCCATATACCCTGGCGCAGTATTTCCACACTCTGGGACCCCATCACTCCCTCCTACACGACCGTAGGGGAAGACTGAGACGAGTATTCTTATAAGTTTTCACATTATGTTCCTCCTTCAGCCAGCCATGATAAACTTGGTCAACCATGGATGATCACTATTACTGGAACAATACTCAACTAAATACACAAATATTATTATCACATTATACTTATTTTAACAATCATATCACCTTATTTATATACTTGTTATCTTTTTATTGACCTCTTTTTGGTTTATCAATGGATTTAAGGTTAATACTAACGTTTGTTTTATATTTTGTTGAGTATTAAGATGACCTGACTTGAATACTAGTATTTTGTGTTCGTTTTTAATGACGAGGTCGGGAACTTTCATATATTTATTACACATTTTGGGTTATTTTTGCGTTATTTTCTGCATTTAACAGTATTTATATATTTTATAAAACAATTTTATTATTTTTTATATATTATTTTCTTCTCAAATATATTAAATTTATTTCTTCTTTAATTGCGTTAAGACAATCGGACACAGTCAGAAATACCAACAGAAGGAAAACATCGACATTTTCCTTAAGTTTATTGTCCGGTATTATAACTTATAACGGTATATAATGTCCGTTAACCCTAATATATGTCTCCCTATTACACATTATTGTATTAAAACCCTCCATATGACACATAGACACAGTATATATAACATAATGTTCACTAGAGCTTACTGGATTAGGGTCAAGTTTCTACTGTAGAAAAACAATAATAAACGAAAAGTTAACAGCTAAATATTATAATTTATTTAAACGGTGTAATATATTTATGAATTATGTATATATATCATAGTGGCATAACTCTACATAAAAGAAATACTAAAGAAACTTATAGATAGACATATGATGACAACGTTGTATATATTATAGTTATGTTAAACGTTTCAATAAATATGTTGCGATAATATTATAACATCTTTCTAGAGAACATTATAACGTTGAGGTGATAGTTTAGTGTCATAACATTGTGGCAACAGAAGTAGAAAACCTAATATACAATTAAATAACGTTACAATAACTGTGATTATAAAGAGTTGTATACATAAACAGGGGTGGTTAATCTTCAGGTGATCTGTCTAATGGTATCCTCAACCTTGCCCATAATAATATTTAATATATATTATTACTATACATCTCCAATCACTAAGTGCAATAATTCTACCAGTTGTAGAATAAAGTGAATGAGTATAGTGTCATTATACAGTGTGTCGCAAGTGTTTTCAGTAAGCTTACAATGCCCTTATCATTGTATAGTGTTGCATATATCTCTATAGTCATTACTTAGGTTATAAAGTACTTGTGGCAAATTGTTTTATGAAGTACCATTGTAAAGTGGTATATCGCAGAGGTTATTATTATTCTTATTTCAGTATATCGTAATTGGTACATCACTATATTCACTATTTATATTGAAAAACACGTATGGTATAGTGTCATAGGTGTATATGGTGTCATAGTGTTATAGTGAGTGAAGGGTTGGGCGGCCTGGAGGAGAGCGAAGGTCAGGATAGAAGAAAATGGCCGCTAGTCAGTCGAGCTGTGGATGGTGTGGTGGGATGACGTGACCCTTCCTCGCCCCCCTAACTTATCGATTCCTACATCTATGACGCCCTTGCAGGTTACTTGTCGACCTGTGAGGTAGATATCTAGTGCTTGGGTTAAAGTGGTGTGGTTTATATAAGTGTGTGAGTGTTGGGGGGAGGGAATAAGAGCTGTGGTGAATAATGGTTTACTTAAGATTGGAGTAGAGGAAGATGGTGGTTAATATCACTGTCTCTATCCCCTCTACCTCGACCTAGGGTGAGGGGCCCCCACAACACGGTTTAATGCTGGAAAAAAGTGTAAAATTGGGTGATAAAAACGACTCGAGAAAGATGGTGATTCGACCCTTTGTGTTGTGGTGTGTTGACGTGTGATTCTTCCTTTAAATGTTGAGGTGGTGTTAGGTGGAGCCCTGGCCAGCTGCCTCCTGCTGGTGTGAGGCAACACTAAGGCTGATATTGGCACCACAGGGTTACTGCCACCTTATCCTAAACTACAAGTGGCACTACAGGCACTATTACCCGCCACACAGTACTGCAAGGACAGCTCGACTAAATGTAGTCGAGCATCGCCGGGTGTGGCACCGCTGCCCAGCTCCCGCGGTCCTCTGTCATGGTACAGTCCGCAAGTCCGGTAATTCTGCCCCCTAGCCCGGCCGAGCCGCCCCCGACAGCTTAGTGCCGCGCGGGTCCGGGCGAGTCTGGAGGCTGCACGGTCGCCTCTCTCCTGGAAGTTGTGTCGCCGGACCACCGATGGGCGGGAAGTGCGGCATAACGTGCGCGGGGGAGGCCGGGGGACTGTACGCACTCACCGCTCAACACACATGTCTCCAGTAGTGGCGACGGGCCCCATGGAGACCAAGCGGAAGAAGGCAGCAGCTCTGGAGAATGGCGACGACTATGGCTGCCAGAAACCCTCAGCAGGTGCCTCTGTCTCTCAGAACACCTCCTCCTCCTCTAGTGCACAGGTGCGTACTGAACTGTACTCTACTGTACCCTTGTAGGTTATCAAATCTTTCATGTTATGTATTGTAGGATATTGTATTTTGTAACATTCAGCAGAGTTTGGCAACTCTGGGTCATGTATGATAAAATAATCAAGAGTAGACAGTTGTGCAGCGGCATTAATCAGGATTTGAAATATAATATTTTTGAGATACATTACTGTTGCCACACCACAAGCAGTACAGTAACAATTGTGTACAGTACACTAAGTAAAGCACCGTACAGTATAGTAACAATTGTGTACAGTACACTAAGTAAAGCACCGTACAGTATAGTAATAATTGTGTACAGTACACTAAGTAAAGCACCGTACAGTATAGTAATAATTGTGTACAGTACACTAAGTAAAGCACCGTACAGTACAGTAACAATTGTGTACAGTACACTAAGTAAAGCACCGTACAGTATAGTAATAATTGTGTACAGTACACTAAGTAAAGCACCGTACAGTATAGTAATAATTGTGTACAGTACACTAAGTAAAGCACCGTACAGTATAGTAATAATTGTGTACAGTACACTAAGTAAAGCACCGTACAGTATAGTAATAATTGTGTACAGTACACTAAGTAAAGCACCGTACAGTATAGTAATAATTGTGTACAGTACACTAAGTAAAGCACCGTACAGTACAGTAACAATTGTGTACAGTACACTAAGTATAGCACCGTACAGTATAGTAATAATTGTGTACAGTACACTAAGTATAGCACTGTACAGTATAGTAATAATTGTGTACAGTACACTAAGTAAAGCACCGTACAGTATAGTAATAATTGTGTACAGTACACTAAGTATAGCACTGTACAGTATAGTAACAATTGTGTACAGTACACTAAGTAAAGCACCGTACAGTATAGTAATAATTGTGTACAGTACACTAAGTAAAGCACCGTACAGTATAGTAATAATTGTGTACAGTACACTAAGTATAGCACCGTACAGTACAGTAACAATTGTGTACAGTACACTAAGTAAAGCACCGTACAGTATAGTAATAATTGTGTACAGTACACTAAGTAAAGCACCGTACAGTACAGTAACAATTGTGTACAGTACACTAAGTATAGCACCGTACAGTATAGTAATAATTGTGTACAGTACACTAAGTATAGCACTGTACAGTATAGTAATAATTGTGTACAGTACACTAAGTAAAGCACCGTACAGTATAGTAAAAATTGTGTACAGTACACTAAGTAAAGCACCGTACAGTATAGTAATAATTGTGTACAGTACACTAAGTAAAGCACCGTACAGTATAGTAATAATTGTGTACAGTACACTAAGTAAAGCACCGTACAGTATAGTAATAATTGTGTACAGTACACTAAGTAAAGCACCATACAGTATAGTAATAATTGTGTACAGTACACTAAGTAAAGCACCGTACAGTATAGTAATAATTGTGTACAGTACACTAAGTATAGCACTGTACAGTATAGTAATAATTGTGTACAGTACACTAAGTAAAGCACCGTACAGTATAATTACTAATTGTGTACAGTACACTAAGTATAGCACTGTACAGTATAGTAATAATTGTGTACAGTACACTAAGTAAACACCGTACAGTATAAGTAATAATTGTGTACAGTACACTAAGTAAAGCACCGTACAGTATAGTAATAATTGTGTACAGTACACTAAGTAAAGCACCGTACAGTATAGTAATAATTGTGTACAGTACACTAAGTAAAGCACCGTACAGTATAGTAATAATTGTGTACAGTACACTAAGTAAAGCACCGTACAGTATAGTACTAATTGTGTGCAGTACACTAAGTAAAGCACCATACAGTATAGTAATAATTGTGTACAGTACACTAAGTAAAGCACCGTACAGTATAGTAATAATTGTGTACAGTACACTAAGTATAGCACTGTACAGTATAGTTATAATTGTGTACAGTACACTAAGTAAAGCACCGTACAGTATAATAATAACTGTGTACAGTACACTAAGTATAGCACTGTACAGTATAGTAATAATTGTGTACAGTACACTAAGTAAAGCACCGTACAGTATAATAATAACTGTGTACAGTACACTAAGTATAGCACTGTACAGTATAGTAATAATTGTGTACAGTGCACTAAGTAAAGCACCGTACAGTATACCTGTAGTAATAATTGTGTACAGTACACTAAGTAAAGCACCGCACAGTATAATAATAATTGTGTACAGTACACTAAGTATAGCACCGTACAGTACATCTCCGTCTTTCCATTTTTTTTCCCAACCAGTCTCCATCAAGCCGCTTGGTGAAGGTCAGCTTATTAAGCTTTAACTAATGTTGTAGCTGATGTTTGATGTTACACTTGACTACTATACCAGACCTGTAACACTAACCATCATGCACAAGCTTTAGTCTGTTTAGGTTGTGTTAAGATACAGATGACTACAGTGAATGTTACCACAATGTGCACTGTACTGTACCATACAGCACTGTACTGTAGGTACTTGCTCTACTGGGACAGCATTTTAATTATAATACAGTATTATTTACTGTACTGTACTGGTAGCAGCTCTACAACATTATAAACTTCAAGTTCCAGTGAAAATTGTTTTGCTTATTGATTTTTGTGTTTCATCAATTGCTGTTGTTCAGTAAGACCTGTGATGATGATTGGTACTGTACTGTACTTGAAATTTTGAACTTGACAGCAAAATGACATAGTTGGGCAAGACTAAAAAATGGCTAGAATGCAAGGGTGGATCCAGAGGGGCGTCTTGGGGTCCAGACCCACTTTTCATCAGAAAATTCCAATACATTTTCTTTAACGCAGTACAGTATTGTACTCGGACATTTTTGTACAGTGTATACAGTAGTATATACCGTACAGTACAGTTGTATATAATTAACAGCAAGGTTTCTACAGCTACTTTAATAAAGAGTATCCTATTAAATGCTGTAATGTAATTTTAGGTACAAAAGTTTAAGGTTGAGTTAGTTGGGCTCTATCTTATTTTACTTTATTTTTTCGACAAACCTTGGCTATGGTTTTCACTTTCTGTGTTACAGATTTGGGGACGATTTTATTTTATTTTTTTCTTCTGTGGTTTAAGCATATTGCCTAGGTAGGACACATGTCCTACTTGCTTCTAGGACACAAGTCTTGCTTCTTTGAGAGGTGTTCCTCAGATGTTATTACACTGTACATTACACCATTCCCCAGGATGTGTCCCACAACAGCCATCTTACAACCAGGTTCCTACTCACTGCTGGGTGAACACAGGCAATGTGCGTAAAGAGACCTGCCTAGTTTCTCGCCCTGAATTTAGCTTATTTTTTATTTTAGTTCCGGTTCTTAGGCCTCCCCCCCCATCCCCCCATCCCACTGTCACGTTAAAAATTAAAGGTACTGTACTGTAGAGTGTCGGTATTTCTTCACTTCCTGCAGTATTTCTTATACAATACAGTACTGTACTGTATATAATTTATATGGTGTTTAAAGCTGCTGAAATAGAAATGTGGAACTGTTAACTCTCTTCACTACAGGGCCACTGATTTAAATATACAGTATATTTTATATATTTGGTTAATGCCAGATGAATTTAATGAGCACCCAAGGAGTTAAGTTATCACAGTTGAGGACAGCCTTGATCTCATAGCTACAGCAGACCTGATAATACAAGTGGGTAATGCTATGGAAGATAATTGAAAATGTGAAGGTATAGTACTGTACTGTAATCAAATATATGTACTGTACTGTACTGTACACAAAATTTATTTCAATCACAAGCATTTCTCTAGACTTTTACCAAATTGAGACTTAGTTACAATGTGGTATAGTACAGTAGCTGCCTGATTTAACTTAAACTGTGTTAGTGGATTAGTTTAGGTTTCCTTGAATGTTGATTTAATGAAAGTAGTTCATTTGGAAATGTTAATAGAAAATGCATTACTGTACTGATTATACAGTGAAACTTCTTTAACAGACTATATGGAGAGGAAAGTCAGTTATATTGAGGGGCCATTAGATATGAAACTCCATGTAATGGGTTATATGGGGAGAGAACTCCGTTATATGGAGGCTTCACTCTATTTTATTCAGTCATGCTAACTGTCAAGAAGGGCTGATAAGGACATAAATATATTTAATGAATACTGTACGGTATATAAAAATTGAGAAGTGATGTAACATGTTGTATGACTCATAATACTGTACCTGTACTGTACTCTAACTGTACCATAACTCAAAATAATTTCAATAGTGTGGTAAGGTTAGGTTTGGTGAGGTTGATATTGAAAGGACTTGTGTTATGGTACAATATTCCCTGTGGTATAATACCTTTGTCACTTCTCATTTGTAATGCTGCAAAATAATATTAATACTGTACAGTACAGTTCTAGTAGCGAGGTAGACGGCATATTATATACTGTACAGTACAGCGTAACTATCCTGGTATACTGCATACTATAGTAGCACCCATTTAGGCCTGACTTGACCAACTTCAATTGAACTGATTCTTGGTCCTAAATCCTGATCACTCTTGTAGGATGATACGGTACAAACTATGATAATACAATGCTGGCAGGTACAGTACTGAGGATGTAATACAGTACTGTACTCTAACTGATGACACCTTAACTACAGTATATAGCTACTCTGTACAGTACAGTTTCTGCTGTAGCTACTGTGATTCACAAACTTAAGACACCACATTACAGGTATTGTTTCTGAATTGATGGGTAATAATACAGTACTTTGTGTAAGAGGACCTGTGGTACAGTATGTCTTAGCCCATGTTGTACTGTGTTGCCTGGGTATACTGTACAGTTCAAAACCAAGGACTTGAAGACTGTGTTTGGTTGAGAATTTTGTTGGTTGTAAATCAAAGTTTTAAAGAAATTAGTTGTATTATAAACAGTATACACACACACACGCACACACAGCATAAATAAGCAATAGTTACAAATACAGCTCCTCCCCGACTTACGGACTTACGACTGGGTTA